TACTTATCTTTAACTTTCATAATTTTAACTTTTATCATAACTTTTTTTCTACAGATATGCGAATAAAATACAAAGATAAACATGAGATCTTTACGGAGGATGATTTAATTAGCAAGGAGCCTATGGGACAATTCAAAGCATGGTTTGAGGAGGCATGCAATACTCCAGAAATTTTAGAACCTAATGCGATGCTTCTCGCGACAGCGACAAGGCAACATTTTTTCTTTTTTTAATTTAAAAATTATCTCGTAATAAAATTGAATTTGATTTGAATAAAACTGATTTGAATTGAATTGTTTAAAAACACACGTTAGAGAAAACGTTTATATGAATATAATAGGTAGTGTTTTGCAATCTATTAATTAACAAAAATATTAGTCACGTAAAAGAAAAATAAGAAAAAGATCAATAAGCTCATGGATCATAAAAAGATTGTGCAAATAATTATAAACACATTGTCATATCTTATAATGCAATTGTTTCAGAGATGGTGTACCATCCGTGCGCGTATTGTTACTAAAAGGCTTCGGCACAGAAGGTTTCAAGTTTTATACGAATTACGACAGCAGGAAAGGCCGCGAATTAGTGAGTTCAGATATTTAATTCAGATCTTTTAAAATATTTAATTGATATTTTTTTTATATCAAGAAAACAAACAAATTTCTATATTATTCGATTTATTTACAGGCTGAAAATCCACATGCTGCATTAACTTTCTACTGGGAATCCCTTAGACGAAGTGTACGGTATTCATTGTTTTTTTTTACATCATATTTTATCTCAAAGTAAAGTTTTCGCGGATTAAAATTATTTTTTGCAACAACATTTAATTAATTCTTTCATAATCATTTTATTGATTTACTACTAGTAATTATTTTAGGTACGTATCGAAGGTATCGCCAAAAAAACCTCAGCGGAAGATTCAGATCATTATTTTCGAAGTCGGCCATATGAGAATCAAATCGGATCTATGGCCAGCAAGCAAAGTAGTGTGATTGCTAGTAGACAGACCCTTCTTATTAAAGAAAAGGAACTGCTCGCGAAATTTCCAAAAAATCAAGTTAAAAGACCTGCTTGTTGGTAGGTAACACCATAATTAAAAAATAATTAGTTCATCATTACTCAGTAAACACCAACTAACATAACATCAATGCCACAATTCCAAGTTCAACAATATAACTATTATGTACATATGTTATATTATATTTATATATTTAGTATAAAATTATAACATTAATGTCTTTCTTTCACGTCATTGTTAGTTGGTGTTTACTGCAATGGATAGTAAATTACTATTAACTAAAGAACGTGCACGTGTAAGCATTAATTAGTTTTTCCAATTTCGAATATAAAGATTTCTTACACGAGAAAGATAAAATCAAAGAGAAATAAGTAATCACGTGCGACAGCATATTGCTTCGTTTCACAACACCAATACATTTGTTGCTGTATTGTTGACAAACTCGTAGATTAACAGTATTGTGCATCTGTGTGTCACGTGTATAATTTTCAAGTTTAAATTTAAATCATTTACTGTATCTTATTTCAGGGGCGGTTATCTCGTAGTGCCACACTCCGTAGAATTTTGGCAAGGTCAGAGCGATCGTCTTCATGATAGAATCCGTTTTAGACGCCCAAAAACGAATGAAAAAATAGATAATATTCTCGTGCACGAAGGAAAGGATGGATGGGTATACGAGAGACTTTCGCCATAAAAAAAGTCACAACATTTATTGATAATAAACGACAGAGAGAGCTAACGACTTTCGTATACAAGAAGAAAAAGAAATTCCAGCAAATTTCGTTGCAGAAGTATCTATTGTCATTGCTGATTATCACATTTCGAGCCAATACCTCATAGTATTATGAAGACAATAAATGTTATACACTAGATGTATGACATTCTTGATGTGGTTTCCTTGTAAATTTCAAAATTTCTCTGTTTACTCCTGAAATGTATACAATTTATATCGTTGAACTAACACAGATAAAATATATTTACAATTAATCATTAATCACCATGTTGACTTTTCCACACCGACTCGACGTCAAAGCATCCGTCTTTTAAAATAAGATTCTCAAATTGTCTCATTCCACCTCCCACGCCAAAATAATAGATTTTTCCAGCGACAAATCTAATAAAAATTTATCCGTTTGGAAACTTAAAATTTAATGATAAAAATAAGACATTAGTAATCCAATGTACTCACACGACGCCATCGGTTTTTAGCTTTCTCTTAAAAATTTCATATAACTTTTTATGATTGTCAGGATTGTAAATCGTTTCGCTTGTAAAAATATAATCGTACTTTTTATTTTCGTCGAGTAACGTCGCGAGAGAAGCCCAATCCCCGGCATAAAATTCACATTTCGTCAGAACAATCGTATGATCAAAATTCAATATTACGTTCGGTATAGTCACGGATTTTAACACTTCGGCGTTCTACAAAAAATTATTTCGTTAATCACAGCCCACTTTTCAGCGTGACAATTATAAATCATACGAACGTAATCTTGGAAATGGACGGTGGAATTTTTACGAAGAGACAGAAGGCCAATCACTCCAACGCCACATCCTAAATCCATAACAAGTTTGTCTTTCAACTCGATTTCCTTTTCCAATATGTATTGGCCCAAATCGAATGTACATTCCCAAATTTTTAAACCACCTTAATTGCACAATTAATTTTTAAAGCACATATTAACGAAACTTCAAGGAAATTCGAATAAAATTTAAATTAGCAAATTTAAGAAAAAAAAAATTTTTTAATAAATTTTCATTTGCAAAATCACCTTCATATTTTGCTGGAATGAGATCGGAATGTTTCGACTCAGCCTCAATAATATTCTGACAATTTTGATCAGTTAAATCCTGCGTTACTTTATCGGAACGTATTAATTTTAAATTACAACCAGATAACACTTCAGTCTCTGTATAATAATAAGCCTCACATTTCGCTTCGATTTGTTCGGGAGTTATTTCAAGTTTGGAAGCAGAAATCCATTCTAATTTATCCTTTTGTTCGCTATCTATTAAAATTATTTGGATAAATAATTTCTTTGCGCGTACATGCTTCGTAAGAATTAAAAGATGTGAATTGAATATTCGCGGGAAAACAATTTTTTAACACTCTAACCTCATATTATGACAGACGTGTTTCAAGATTTATTAAAACAATATGAGGTGTTTTTTCGTTATCCAGAAGCAATTAAGGCTTATCTTCGTTTTCAGGAATCAGAAGACAAAAATAGCCATAGTGTGGTTGTTTCTAGTTGCATAACGAAAAAATGCCAATGATTAGTCATACCTTCATCAATATCGGCTGCATCTTCTGCAAATCGAAATTTGAACATTGTTCGGTAAGTTTGATTTAAAAAACTAAAAAAGTCACACATCTAGGATAAATTAAAGTATCAAATAAGATATATATCATTACAGAGGAGTGGACATATCCATATCTTAGATAGAACTCATTTATTGAGTCACATGCACAAACGTACATATACGTTGAACTACATAGCTACTGATATTTCCGGCAGATAACACACCCACAATTTTTAATTTTTGTGATTAATTGTTTAGTACTATTCCATGTTTACAGAATATATTGTGTACAATTATTGGAACATAAAATCGAGGATTATGCCGATTGGATATATTATACTCACTAGAAATATTAGTGCTTATATTACAGTTCAACGTGTACGTAGACAACATAGATGCGCCAGTAAATATTTTTCATCTAAAATACAGATACGTCCTCTCTCAATCTCTTTCTGCACCAAACAACATCTCAGTATATCTACAATGGTAAGTCAGAAAACTATTACATCACTTCTCGAACTTGAACTTGTTTGGAAAATCACGACATCTGGTATATAGTTGTGCAATTTCTGCATTCGTATTCCAAGAACAATATATAATACTTGGAGTTTAAAAAATTAAATATCTTATAATGCAATATACGAGCAAGTTGAATTGATGCAAAATAGATCCACTAAACAATTAAATTTTAAATCACAATTTGAATTATTTTTATGTAACTACAATAACTGCTACTGAAGACTTGTTTATTTTTTATTTTAAAATTTTATTTTGTTGTAATTATATATATTTACAATATAATACATTTAAAGGGATCCTAAAGTGAAGCTCGAACCTCGATGAAATCGTTGTTTTACCGATAAAATGTGATACATCGACATATCTTTATATACTATAATACTACATCAATATCGCACGTATATATACATACAAATTTTTTAACTAATCTTTCATATTAAGTATCTAAACCTAAGTTCTAAGTTCTCAACATTGGTTGTTCATATAATCTCTAATCCAAAATTGTTTTATACGTACAAAGTATAAAATTCGTATATAAAGCAAACATTTCCATTTGATGACACAAGTTGACACATAAACATCGTTCTATTCTTCTTGACATTAAAAGAATGACAAAGATACGACACTTGTATCGATTTACGTCAAATGGAAAGCATCTATTATTACGAGTCGACATTAAAAGTTGGTAACAAAACAGCAATTTTTCATTTTTTTTTCGTTTTTTGGCATAAAATCCGGTTTAGACATTATCAATTATACTTTAATTATGACGAAGAATTTTTTAATCTATAAAGACAAAGAAAAATACGTGCTTGAAAAAAATTCATAAAACAGATTCGCTTTAAGATCCCCTTAAAACCAACATATTTAGTCAATTCATTTCTACAAAAAAAAGAAATAGTTGCGTTTTTCCATTTTCTTATAATACAGTATTGTGAAAAAATTCTGTAGTAAAGCTTATCGTTGCCCCATGATCAGACAATTTTTCGAATAAAGACATTAATTACATCAGTATTATTTTTTTCATTATCAATTTAATCGTTCCTGATAACAGCAATTCTCACAATAATTTTTTGTCATTCATAAGGAATTACAAAAGGATTTAAAAAACATGCAAAAGAATTTTATTGTTCATTTGTTTCATATTATAGAGCGGTCACTCATTATTATTCATTTTTATACTACAAAAAAAATATCTTCGTTCACTAATTTTTACTACTTTGATAATATCAACATTGTTCACAACTATGATCGCGATTTTATCATGATTATTTAAGTTAATTTCTTCGTTTTTTCTTTATTTTTTTTCTACAGTAATCAGATGCTGCATTAGCTATCACCTATTTTTGATAGAATCATCTGCATTCGTGGAGCTCGAGATAAATTCTGTAGCATACCACGATTTTAACGAGTTTATTAATATTTTATATTCTTATCGATTTAGCAAAATTCGTTCTTTCAACAGAAACTCGATACACAGCATATCGTGAGCCGTAAGAATTACGCCGATGACAAACGATTGCAGGAAACAATTAGCTGACAGTTATGACGAGTAAACAAAGGTCATTCGACGTCTTTCGTGAATAAAGTGTTATCTCTAGATCGCGCTCGTGAACACGATGTGCTTCTTCGTTATATGTGATGTTATTATTCCAAGCAGAAACAAAACAAAAATGCCGAACGACGATGTTAGATAACTCCAGTATATATCAAAAACTTACCGCACCTATCAAAAACTTAATTTATTAAATATTATTTACTATGTTTAAAGTAAACGAACTATATCAGTAAAAACTTTGTTTACTATCCGAAATATTTATACTTCGTATTAAAAAATGAACTTTTTTTAAATCCTTGCATTTTTGCCGTATATCCCATAGGGGTGAGATATATGGCTACTCATAGGGGAAAGAGGTATGTATGGCTCATAAAAAATTTACAAATATATAT